TGGGCGGGACTTGGCGGACGCTACCAAGGTGGCAATGTGTGATCTCTTAGCTGTTCTTAATGCCCGGATGTACTCCTTGGTGCATGCTGTCAAAAGTGCTCGGTTCTGTTCGGACCTATCGGATCTCCACTGGTGCTCTAGGTGTCTCCTCCAGCGCTTTATCTCCCAGAGCTCCTCGGTGAACCAAGGAGGCCTCCGGGAGCCGCTGACCCGGAGGGGCCGTAGTGGCGCAATCCGGTCCAGAGACTCTGACGCTGCCGAATGCCAGGCAGCGGCAAAAGTCTCTGCCGAACTGTGGGTGAGAGGATCAGGAATAACCCCAAGCTCCGTCTGGAACCTTACAGGGTCCATAAGTCGCCTGGGGCGGAACCACCTGGTCGGTTCCTCCTCCCTACGGTGGGGGTTTGGCCTCCGGAAGTCTAGCTTCAGTAGGCAGTGGTCTGACCACGACAGGGGTATGATCTCGTTACCCCTCAGACCAAGATCATAACTCCACTGCTCCGAGAGGAATACGAGGTCGAGTGTGTGACCCGCTGAGTGGGCCACTCCTCTCATTAGCCAAAGGGACTCTGGGTGGCTTATATTGTATGCTGGTTTCTCAATAAATTGTACACCAAAACTCAACAAACTGAAGCACAAGAAACTTGGTAACTTGGCATTGTCTCAATATCTTTGGGATTTTTTTTCTTCTCACTTGCGTAGTGCTACCTCTCACCTAAATTACAAAAATCTGCTAACACATGATTTCCACACATCTGACTGATTACAAACATTAAAGTCAAATATTTCCATAACAATCTTTTGAAAATGAGCATAGTGAGAAAATATAACAGGCATATTTAGTAACTGTTTAGCAGCACCTGCTCTTTGGAATATCTTACCCTCTAAGGTAAGATGCCCCTGCTGGCCTCCAGAAGAGCTTGAAGGCCTGGCTCTTTGTTGGCCCAGGAACCAGACTAATGGGGCAATTCCACAGTGGAGGTTGCTGCCAGATTGATGGCAAACTGCACCTCCCCCGCTTTGCTCTCCACCTGTCCCTCTTTTTGTTATCATTTTGATGATCTTTTTCATTGTTTATTTAATTGTTCTATTATTTTATTTCTGTTCTGTTTACACTCTTTTCATTTCTTCAATTTTATTTCTGTAAGCTGCTTAGAGTAGCCCAATGGAGAGATAGTGGCAAAGAAATGTAACAAATAAATAATAAATAAATCTAAATTACTATTCATAAAGTTTTCAGTTATTGGATATGCTAAGTAGAGTAGACTCAGATTGTCTTTCTCACCTAGAAACCTGGCTTCCTCTCCCCAATACATACATATATGCATGTGTTTGGTGTGAACATAACAGTGTTAGATATGAATGTTGTACATTTCATGTAATTCACAACACAAACAAACAATAAAAAAATAGGGTGATGAGAAGAATTTACAATACAAAAAAGGTATGAGATGGGAAAGCATAAGAGAGTGAAGTGCAAATGATCTCAATGGAGAATGTTTATATTTCTTACAGAAAGGAGGAAGGGAGGGAGGGAGGGAGGGAGGGAGGGAGGGAGAGAGAGAGAGAGAGAGAGAGAGAGAGATCATGATGTGTATTCTAAGCCATTCTGCTTATTTTTCTTGGCATCACCCACAGGATAATTCTGAAAAAGAAAAAAAGGCCTTACCTTTGTAACATCAACTTGATCTGACCAATCTACCTCGATGCTTTCTATATAAGTGTTCCTGGCATATTGCTTCAAAGTTTGAGAAATATTGTAGTAACAGTAAAACATGATGGATAAGGGGACGACAAAATTAACAGCAATTACTGACATAGTGTAAGAAACAAAGGATCTGAAAAAGAAAAAGACCAGATAACTGAAAACTGTTCTTTCTTTATTGATAGTATTGACACAATTACCTGAGGGTATTCTACAATTATGTGGAACTTAAAATAGTTGAATTGGTTGATAGTTAATATTCTAAATCTAGCAGTTTATTGGAGTGGTTTAGGCAGTAATCCAGTACTCATTCTGTAGAAATTATTTGGGCTTGTTCCCAATATATGCAAGATTCATAAGTGTCCATTCCCAGCCACAATTACTCCAAAATAATGAAGCATGCATTGTTAGATTACAATGCAAGTTCTGCCTTATATCATTTGACACTACCTATTTGCCCCTGCTAAGCCTACATTCATGTCTAACACAACTGTCTTTGAAGGCCAGGTCTACCCAAAAGTTCACACCTGTTAAGGACCCTATGTTTTTTTTTAAATTGCTTCTGCTTATCCATTGGCCCTTTCCATTGAGCCTTGACAAGACTTAAGCTTATTATGTTGGCCTTTGTTTTCCGCCTACATAAATATTATTTTCTTTAAGACATAAATGAAAAGGTTAATACTAAAATAAGTACAACAATGTCATTAATTATTCCTCAGTAAACGATAAATGGATCCAGATTGAATAGTGTCCTGGATGTATCAGATTTAAACACTATGGATGAAATTTTCTCCCTTAGTGATTTGTAAGACTGTTGTTTCCTTCTAAACTGTTCATTTTTAGGGTTTTAAGGTTTCGGTGAGTTTCTAACAATACAAAAATATCATCGTGAATGTTCTACTTCACCATAAAAAGAACATACGTGTCATTTTGTCTCCAGTTTATGGTACACGTAGCTCCAGTTGGATCTGGAGCATAGCTTGCCCATCCTACCACAGGCATGGAGGCCCAAAAGACTGCATTGGTCCAGGCAGCAAAAATCAGGGCAATGTAGTTGTGAGTAGTTAATCTGCTACCTGTTGGCAAACCAAAAACATCACCACTATTTATTCTTTCCTATCATTTGTACTTTTCTATTCGAAACCAAAGAATACAAACGTTGCAATGAAAATTTTATAAATACACAAATCAAATGTAATAATTATTCAAATATTAAATTCATGTTCATACCTATACAATGTCTAAGCACCTAACTTCCCTCATTTAAAATTACATATTGTGTGTGTGTATAAAGACGATACGATTTGATATGATATGCTCATATCATACACACACACACATTTACAAACATTGATTAAAAGACTGAGAAAGTTGCTGAGGACATTTCCCTAGCTATAACCTGAAAGAATCTTTTTTCAACTTTGTACCCTTCAGATAGTTTAAATTTAAAAAATAATAGTCATACCATTTGATAACTTGATGTTAAAGTAGATGCAGCCCATCATGTCTAGAGATAACAGAATACTGGTAAGCAAAGGCTTTCCTAACCCATAACTGTGCCTTCAATACTAAAATTAATGTATTTTCATTATGCTGTACTTAATAAATAATTGCTGGATTGTCTTCCAACTAAACATTGACTAAACTAGGATGTAGGTTTAGCAAAATTGCTTCATCATATATCTAAACTAAGTATAAAAATGGAACATCAGAACAAAACAATCATAAAGCTCAAACCTCTTGAGCTTTACAGTCTGATTCCAGCCTATCGTAAACTACAGGTGCCTAATTTTTGATGCATTTGACCTATTCATAATTGGCACCTTGGTTGCAATGGTCACACTCTGTTTAGTATTTATAAAACCCATATTTATGAAAAGGTAAATGGATAAATATATTCCCAGCTAATTTCTGCCTGTGGAGGACATATCTTCTTCAACCTTTATTTCCTGCTGAAAAGATGAGCATGCTTCCAAAGATATCGGTTGGTTGCCTGCATGCATCATTTTAATCTTCTAAAATAGCCAAAAATTACAGTGCTTGGCTTTTTAATGGTGTGAAGCATGTTATCAGAGCTTCCCATTGATAAAAGAATTTAGGTCAGGTGCTTCAGGGATCTTGGCAATTCAGTACTGAGATATTTTCAGACACTTTGGTATTTACAGGACCAGATTCCCTGGTCAATTCTTCCTCTATAAAACTAGCTAATGAGGTCTCAATTCCATACTTGTTTTCCTTCTGACTTTTTGCTCTGTCTTCACACAATTTAGAGTGTGGGCAGTTAGGATTAGGGTTCCCCACAATGGAATGAATGGCTGCAAAAACTGATAGAGTTAGCAGAGAAGGCTAAATTGACTGTTTTGATTAAAGGGGGAAAAACCCACAAATACCTTTATTTCTACTTGGAAATCACTTCTGGACTTTGTGCTTGAGGTGGGGAAAAAATGAAACTTTAATTTTGGATTTTATTGATTAGATAGATTTGTTGTTATAGAAATGGCTAGTTTCAATTATTATGAAAAAGTAAAACGTTGAGGGTAGATATTGTTAATGCCTAATTTTACTGCACCAAAGGAGTCTGAAATCAATATCTATTTTTTTCTTTGTCTCTTGCTTTCCACTTCCCACTATCCACTTCCCTTTTCCCTTCCCTAATTTCTCTAATATTTACTTTTGGATTCTCTTTGTATATCGTATTATAAATTAATTTAAGAAAACCTATATAACTGAAAGAGTGTGGGTGGTTAAGATATATATATATAATGTTGTATTTGTGCTGATAAATAAATAAAGGGAGACTAGTATAGATCTATTTCAAGCTATTTAGCTCTCATCAGCTAGCCATATCCCAGTAAGGGTATGGCTAGCTG